AAGAAGAAGAAGAAGAAGAAGAAGAAGAAGAAGAAGAAGAAGAAGAAGAAGAAGAAGAAGAAGAAGAAGAGAAGGAGGAGGAGGAGGAGAAGGAAGGGGAGGAGGAGGAGGAGGAGGAAGAGGAAGAAGAAGAAGAAGGAGAAGAGAGAGAGAGAGAGAGAGGAAGGAAGGAAGGAAGGAATGAAGGAAGGAAGGAAGGAAGAAAGGAAGGAAGAAAGGAAAAACCATGTTTCATTAGGTTGCCTAGACTGGCCTCCTCCTGCCTTACAGGAGAGACAGGGAGAGAGAAAGAGAGAGAGAGAGAGAGAGAGAGAGAGAGAGAGAGATCTTATGTATATCCAGTCATGAGCTATGTGACATTGACATTCTGTCAATGATAGGTCACATCCAGCATATAAATGTGTAACAGAGGGCCAAGTGGATGGGTCAGTGGCCAAAGGAGCTTGCCACCCAACAGTGCAAATCTAATTACCTGAATTCAATTCCTATAACCCATATAACACCAAAAGAAGAGAGATAAATCCACAAAGTTGTCCTCTGACCTCCACTCATGGGGTACAAGCAATCACACACATCATATACAAATATAGACACACAATAATACCAAATAACTTTTAAAGTACAGCACATAAATTGGGCTCAATATATGAAACCGAACCAATACACACACTGAATAAGGACACCAAACAGCTATGCTTCTTTACGCGTTTGCTGAGCTGTAGTTACATTATTAAAAGTCAGGGGGAAATGGGCTTTTTGATTTTAAAGAATTAATGCAGAGAAGGAACGCATCATCATTTTTATCATTTTTTTTTGATATCATCATTTTTTTGACTACTGTCAAAAAAGTCATATTATATGGAAATTTAATCTAAAAAAGGTTAAGAGTGCAATTATTGACTCTGTGCCCAGAAAAAAAAAAACTTGAAACCTTTCATTAAAGAGCATAGAGAGAGTGTTGGTGAGCAAACAGGAATTTTCAAGATGAGAAATAGTAGTCTCTGGGGAGGTAGGATACAATTCAATAGTTGCCAGTTACAGAGTGTTTTGCTGATTTAGTAAGACAGTTTACACTGTCTGTACAAATTACCAGATATACATATTAATATAGTAGCATTAAAAATGTATTCTCACTTCACCCATATATATGGTTAAAAATAGTTTGTTTTTTTTTTCTTGTAGCCAGTCACACATCTTCTTCCCCACTGAGTGGTAGAGAACAAGATAAAAATTAATTTTTCCATTCTCCTCCTTGAGAGCCTGTTTGAGAGCTCAGTCTGTTTCTGTGTGTTTTACTCTCTTTAACTACCTCCACTGGCCCCCGCTGCAGTAACTCTCCCTATGTGGCATGAAGCAATGTGAAAGGAGGGGACTCGTCCTCTCGGGGTCTTAGGGGGATTGGGAGGACAACACCAGGGCATACTTCCAGAAGTTCACTGGTCCTGAGTTTCAACTGGTAAAGAGCCGTGGTTGATGGTTTATCATCTGTTCCCAGTTCTCCTGGAGAAGGATGATTGGGAGGTCAAATGTCTCCGCCCATTCGGATGACGCCACCCCTTCTGCTCCATGCCAGAGCAAGACCTCTTCATGGAGTAGCTAACACCCCCACACCTGTGAGCTGTGTGCCAGCACACCCCTGTACATTCACACACACCTACGCTCCCTTACCCCCAACCCTTCTTCTTAAGTGAAAACTCACCAGATGGGATTAACAGTTCTAGGTCAGCAGATGGCTAAGCTTTTTGATAAACCATTTTGTTTGATAGGAATGATTACCAAGTTCGCGTATTTCTTATTGAGGTAACATTAAAATATGTTCTTGTGCAGCCATGCTTCCAACTGACCTGTCACTCACTTCTCCCCTCCAAGACTTCAGCCTAGATGAGGAGGTCAGGACTGAGAGCAAGGGCCCTCTTGTGCTCCCCTTCAGCTTCTTGGGGATAGACCATGCAGATTCAGTCTTTCTTCTTTCTTCAAGTCCAGCCAACTTATCCTTGAGAACAGCTGGTGCCATGGTCTAGCCACAAAGCTGTAAAACTTCAAAGTTAGGAGGAAACTTGTTAATCTAAGTTTAACAGACTGCTTCTTGATACAATTAAGGGAGGTACATAATTCAGAAAATGTTGTTGTTGCTTATCTATGAAGCCTAGATTTCAAGATTTTGATAACAAATTTCTTGGTGGTACCACTATCTTCTCTATTGAAGAATTTTCAAATTTACACATCAGTAGAGCAAGAAATAAAGTGTATGTATCAAATGCAGAAATTGTCAACATTTTGCTGGGTTGCTTCATCTATAGACTTTCTCCTTCTGCTTAACTCTCAAAATCACTTTCAGCAATCTAGATTGTAGCTCGGTGATTACTAACCTAGCATGCACAGAGCCCTGAGAAGAAATCCCAGCATCACGTAAACAGAGCCTCGTGATACAGGTTCGTCCCCCAGCACACGAGAAGTAAAGGCAAGAGCATCAGCACTTGAGGGTCATCTGCAGCTTCCTGGGGACTCTGGAGTCAGTCTAGGAGGTATACAACCATGTCTCAAAATAAATGAATAGATAAATTCCAGACCTTCATTTCCCTCTCTTTTCATATTTCTGCCTGAATCCTACATAGAAACCCCTCCCTCTGCCAAAAACAACAACAACAATAAAAAAAAAAAACTAACAATAGTAGTTAGGAGCCTTAAACTAAGTAGAAAAAAAAACCCAAGGACAAAAATGTATAAGAAATGTATAAGAAAAAAAACTTCCCTGGCAGACTGGTGAAAAGTAAAATTAAAAAATCCACAATAAATTCTATTACATGTTTGTCACTTTAATCTGACAATTTACACTCTAAAGTGTTTTGTATTTAAAACTTTGCCATTCTTTCTGTGACTAAGATTTATTATTGACTCATAATAAAACAATATTTGAAATTTAGCTGTTCCATTCGAATTTTCTCACTTTAAAGCCCATTTTCTTAATATGGTAAATAAAAGAAAGCCAGAATGGAAATTATATATTCACTGTGAATATTATCATGTTTCTAAAACATGACTTTGGGAGGAGAGACATAAACCATAGGTGTACATTTGTAGAAGTTTCCTCCATCAAAATTTCCAGCTATTTTGTAACTCATTCACTTCTATGGGAGAAAATTATATTTTAAACACAGTAAAACTACAAATTATCAGGCTTTTCTTGATGAAATTTTCTGATCTCTGGGTTTTTCTAGATTTTTTTGGTTTTGGATTTTTTTTAAATCCAGTGTTCTTGTGAAACTGCAAATTATTTCCACTCTTTATCCAGTTACACGATATGTATACGGAGGCTTCCAGATGGCTTCTTATAACAAAGTTAGAGCAATCTTGATTCTATTAAACACACTCCTTGAAAAATTCCCAAAGATAAATGATGCAAATACATTATGGCAGGGAGACCAAACACTTCAGAATGCAGAAAGGTCTTCTTTAACTCTGGATACATAGAGACTCTCTCTGATGTTATCTAAATGCCGAGGCCCCTGCTGAGTTTACACAGGTGTTGAACACAGGAGAAAACGAGCTGAATTCTAATTTCTCTTTTGCTCTAATGTGCTCTACTATTTGATAACTCTAATTCATTTGAGCCTGTTGTCATGTGCAAAACATAGAGAAAATATCATTCTGTGTGTGTGTGTGTGTGAGTGTGTGTGTGTGTGTGTGTGTGCGCGCACGTGCGTACGCATATATGTGAGTCATAGACAATACAGGTAAGCATAGTTTGAGAGTGCATTAATGTTATTTTAACATTACTGGTTTCAAATTTGTGTCTAATGATCCAGAGAGAAATAGACAGTGATTATAGAAACTGTCTTATTAGTGACAATATTAAAAAGCCTAATTGAATTCCACAAGCTTAACGGAAACCTGAGTTCAAAGAGAAGCAGGATGTTCAGAGACAAAGCAATAGAGAGAGGACTGCAGGTTGAAAAAAAATACCGAGACGAAGGACTGCGAGGGATACTATCACCCACTGATACAAGGGGTCGGATCTAATGAGAGTTTACCAAGGCCAGATGGACCGTGACTGAACGAGCATGTGATCCAACCAGATTCTCTGAATGTGGCCGGATTTTCTGAATGTGGCTGGCCTGCAGTCTTTCCGAGAAGCCATTGACAATGACACTGGGACTGGTTTCCTCTGCATATACTGGATTTTTGGGATCCAGTCTGTTTGGATGCTCACCTTCCTGGACCTGGAGTGAGGGGGGAGGAACTTGGACTTCCCACAGGGCAGGAGACCCTGACTTCCCTAGGGGACAAAGAGGGAGGAGGAGAGGGAGGGGGGAGTGGGAGGGTGTTGGGAGGAGGGGCGTAAATGGAAACTTTTTATAATTTAATAAAATTACAAAAAAAAAATCTTTCCCATGAGTTTTTTGCTACCTTATACTTAAAAGATTTTTGTGTGCCAGTGGCCTAAGTTCAGTTGGCAAAGACTTGGTTATTTGTTTTTTAAAATGTTTTATTAAATAAAATTCTTAGACAGTTTGAAAAAAAAAATACCGAAGACTATGCAAAAAAAAATGATGCTGTGTTCCAGAAACCTTCACTTTAATAAATCAAAAAAGTTCATAAATTACATCAGTAAATTATGTAAAATTTATAATATCTCCTAGATAAACAACCAATGATTTACAATCTCAATTGCTCAATTCATGTATTCAAGGAGCTTACCTTTTATAAAATTGTAATAATAATGCTTCATTTTTTTTCTTAGAATATCAGTGCTATAAAAATTAAAAGGCGTTGCTTTTATAAGCAGATGAGCAATAAGCTGGTTTTGGAGCCTAAGCAGGCTTGTGCATTATGTCATAATTATTTTAATGATCTGCCAACCCTAACAGTTATTTAAATAGAAGTGTTCTGTTATCTTTTGAAGTAATACATGAATGGACAATCTCTTTTGTCTATGAACACCATTCTGTTAGACTCCAGGTGCTCAGATCACATTTGTGGAACTGAATTGAACTAATTAGACAGATTTTTTTGACTGCCATTGAGCATTCCAGGAATCTTCAAAGAAAGCTATTCAAGTCTGGTAGGGGCCAAGAGCCCTAGAAAATTGCCTGTGCTTCTTGCAGATAACAGTTTAAATATCCAGGGCGCTTTCACTGGTCCATAAAGAAGGAGGGAAGAAATGCCCCAGTAAACATAGCTATAGGAAAGGAAAATCAGCTCACTCTGGGAAAATCTGTTCCTCTCTCTTCCAGAAATCATCAATATAAGGTGAGTAGCATGTACATATAGTTTATTATATATATAATTTTATTATATATATATAATAAAGTGTCTAGTCTCTCGATTCAGAGATGCCTCAGGATAACTTGGGGATGAAGACCTACACGTGTAAAGAGAGACTTCATCATTACCTTTGTGCACCATTTAGCAATCCAAATTATTCTTGTCAAACTGCCAGCATTTCAGTTAACTCTGGCCTTCTGGGTTCTCATCCAAACGTTTGTTTTTTCATGGCATGTTCACTCCATGGCCATGGCCATTTTTAAACTTTAAGTTCTTCTACCTTTGGACTTCAGACCAATGACAGGTGATACACATCTTGATGATGTTATAGTTAAGTGGGGAAAGATTCAGCGGACGAAGAACATTATAAGACATTTATTGAACACTTACCAAATGCCAAGCAGAGGGTTTTACAGGGTTTTCTTTCTCCAGGATAACTCTCACAGGAAATGGGAAATTGATTTTCAGAGAGGTTATGTAATATATTCAAGTCCAGAGAACAAGTTAGAAAATAAACCACAATTGCAACCCAAATCGGACTTAACCGCTTAGTATTGATTATGTTGTTAATAGAAAAGCAAATCATTAAACTTTACAGCACATTCAGTTTCCCAGGAACACAAGCCAGGGCACAGTGGCCATGCCTATAATCCCAGCACGATGGAGCCTGAGGCAGGAGAATTGCCATGAGTAAGAGGCCAGCCTTGGCTAAATACTAAAATCCTGTACCAAAAACAAGGAGACAGAATGAAACCTTATCAGTTTTTCTATGTATGAAACCATTAATTTTGTTCTGTTCCTGAAGCCTAATTTAAGATGGAAAAAGTGTCAAAAATCTTTTAAAATATGAGTAAGTTTTGGACTCCTAATGATGTTCTACTAAAATCAAAGATCAGTGCCTTTTTCGGCCATTATCAGAGAAGCTTTCTTCTGCAGCAGCTGGGAGCAAACGGAGTTTCACAGCCAGACATTACAGAGAGACCTTGGAACACTCAGCCCTAAATAGGATGTCTCCATAAAATCCCTCCAGTATGGGCTCAGGGAACTCTGAGGAAGAGGAGGTAGGAAGAGTGTAAGAGCCAAAGGGGATGAAGGACAGCAAAAACAAAACTCATGAGCAAACTCCGCATGAACTCAGAGAGAGCAGCAGGCACAGGACCTGTGCAGTCTGCACCAGGACCTCTGTGCATGTATTTTGTCTTCCAGTTTCGAGTTTTTACGGCACTCCTGAGTGTGTGAATGAGTGGGTCTCTGATTCTTGTATCTTCTCTTGGGCTCACTTCCTTCTTTTGGTTTGTCTTGTCCAATTTTGATGTGATCGATACTGTTTTATCTTACATTTTATATTATTATATTTTATTATTATCTCTTAAAAGCCTGTTCTTTTCAAATGAGAACAGAAGAGGAGTAGATCCAGATGGGAGGGGAGGTGGAAAGGAAATGGGAGGAGTAGAGGGTGGGGAAACCGTTGTCAGGATATGTTATGTCAGAAAAGAATATTTTCAATAAAAGGGGAAAAATAAAAATAAAAACATTTCAGCATTCTAAATAAAGTATGTATTTCACATATACACAAAAATATTAGTACTCTTTATGCTCTTGGTATAATTGCTCTTGCAAGAACAAATTGAAAGACTGTGTTATCCAATTACAATGGAATTGGGGGAAGCTAGCAGGCATTTCTGCTCTCAGGGATGGGAGGCAGTGTATACTAACTGCCCAACCAACACTTCTCATGTCCATGGAAAAGGCAAAAAGCAAAGGAAAGACAGAGGTTTCCAGAGGATATGATTCACAAACTTCTTAAACATATGAAAATAGGATGGTGTAATGAATTGGGAAGGGAACCAGGGCTTGCACACTTTTGATTCAAAAGGCAGCTTTGGAGCCATGTCCCCAAATCTATTCTCAGAGGGTCATGATGTGCCTGCATTCGGCTGAGCACAGTACTGTGTCCTGTGCAGTCTGTGTTTCCTTTGCTCTTGACATGACATCAAGAAGCTGACCCTTACTGTCACTCACCCACAGTCGGCCTGATTTATCTGAAAGAGCTCTCATCTCTGATCTGGGCTCTTGAACAAAAGCTATCCTATTTATCGAGAGGCACGATGATGATGTCGTCAAAAAGAATGAGGAAATTTTGTCTTAATCTTTTACAGGAATCTTAAAAGGGAGAAAATTGGGTTTGGGCTCTACTCAGAAAAGCCACGAAGCCAGAAGCAGATGTTATCAGTCTGTACCCACAAGTTGAGTTCAATATTTTTCTTGTATAGGGGCATTGTTTTCAGTGCCTTGATATTTTCAACGACTAGTTTCAGGTCTAGCCACTACATCCTACGCACGTATATATTGTTCTGAGACAAGGACATGAATGGGTAATAAAGGAAATATAGGACTTAAAGCATAGTAAGATTGATCACATTGTTTTTTTTAAAACATATTTGAGTACACAGTATGTAAGCAGAGAGAGTATATAAATCATCTCCAAGCACATGATTAGTAACTTCGCTATAGATTGGGTGAAAGTTTGATTTGTAAAATTAAACTTTAAAGAGAATTTCTCAGAAAATTTTTACCTCACCACCCTGTCCTCTTGAGTACAAAAGTAACCATTTCGATACAGAATATCTTTATTCCAGATCCGAGTTAGTACATTTCTAGCAACCAAAAAAAAAAAAAACACAATAAAAACTTAAACACTGAAGTTGGAAACATGGAAAAGAAAATTCAGAGCCGTATACTCTACAATAGATATCTTAAAGGTTAAATATAAGATTAGCAATTTTGAGAATAAAGAAAGAGCTAATAAAATTCAACAGAATTATGCTCAGAAGGCCTTCCCTGAACACCCCTGAAGAAGGGCTGGAGAGGTGGCTCAGAGGTTAAGAGCACTGGATGTTCTTTCAGAAGACATAAATTCAATTCCCAGCAACCACATGGCAACTCACAAGTACCTCTAATTCCAATTCCAGGGAATCTGATGCCCCCTTCTGGCCTTCCTTGGTACTGTACTTTACATGGTGCACAGATATACAACAAAGAGGCAAGATTTTCATACCAAGCAGCATTATATGCAATAGCCAGAACCTGGAAACAACCTAGATTACCCTCAACCAAAGAATGAATAAAGAAAATTTGACACATTTACACATTAGAGTACCACTCTGAGGGGGAAAAAAATGACATCTTGAATTTTGCGTGCAAATGGATGAAATTAGAAAACACTCTTCACTAACCCCACGTCAGACAAAGGACTGATCTCCAAAATATATAAAGAACTCAAGAACCTAGACATCAAATTACCAAATAATCCAGTCAAAAAATGGGGTACAGATCTAAGCAGAGAATTCTCAACAGAAGAATTGCAAATGACCAAACGACACTTAAAGAATTGCTCAACATCCTTAGTCATTAGGGAAATGCAAAATGACTCTGAGATACCATCTTACACGGGTCAGAATCGCTAAGATCAAAAACACCAATGATAGCTTATGATCTACAGCAAAGCACTGAGCTGAGCTACTGGAGACCAGCCCAAAAGAGTGAGGAGTGATAATATGAGCAAAGGAGTTAAGACCAAGATGGTGATACCCACAGAAACAGCTGACCTGAACTGAGAGCTCACTGACTCTGGACTGATAGCAATGGAACCTTCATAGGACCAAACCAGGCCCACTGAACGTAGGGGACAGTTGTGAGGCTGGAGCAGTCTGTGGAACCGCTGACAGTAGGGCCAGGACTTATCCCTAGTGCTTTAACGGGCGTCTAGACACACGTTCTCGCACGGACACTTTGCACTGCCTAGATATGGGGGGAGGGCCTTGGTCTTGCCTCGAAGTGAAGTGAAGTAGCAGACTTTGTTGACTCCCCATGGGAAGCCTTACCTTTTCTGAGGTGAGGATCGGGGTGTGTGCAGGGAAGGGTGGAGTGGGAAAAGGGAAGAGCGTAGGAATAAAAATAGCTATGTAAAATAAAAAAAAAATATTGTATTTAAAAATTCTTAGTAAAAAAAGAAGAAAAAGAAAAATTCAAGAATTCAAACAAAGAATTCAGAGGAAAAAGGAAAGACTCGCCAAGGTATTGGATCAAGTGGAGGGAGAATATAAAGTCATGAAGACAATGTAGAGGAACTGAGTGACTCAAAAACATATCAAATGAAAAAAAAATCCCAATAATGGAACACAGAGTAACTCTGGGACACTATAAGAAAGACCATAACTAAAAATAATAGGTATAGGAGAAGAGACGTGGGTCAAAGGAAAATTAAATATTTTCAATAAAGTCGTGGGAAACTTTCCTAATCTAAGAAGAAGGGTACGTATGAAATTCAAGAGTCATATAGGTTTTAAAATACACAGCACCAGAAAAGAAACTCCCTGCATCCTATAGTAGTCAAAACACTAAATGTACAAAGTAAAGAAAAGACACAGAAAGAGAGAAAGATGAAGCTGAATTCAAAGGCAGGCCCATGAGAATAAGAGCAGCTTTCTCAGTGGAGACGATGGAAGCTAGAAAACCCTGAACCAATGCTCTGTAAACCATGGAAGAGCACAAAGGCCAGCTGAAACTATGATAACCACAGAAACTACCTCAGTGTCACTGAAGAAGAAAAGAAACAATTTCCTCAGTACAAACAAATTTAAGGAGTATGTGACTACTGAGCCCCCTACAGAGGATGCTTCACATTTTAGGCTGGAGAGAAGGTAAAACAAATGTTTTAAAAAGCAAAATAAACCAGCAATTTCAGAACACTGAATCAAAGGAGGGCTAATAAAACACCAGGACAGCAACAAAATGACAGGAATTAATATACACGGTTCTGGAATAACTTTGAATATTAACAATCTCAAGTCACCAATGAGGAGGCGCAGACTAACAGATGGGGTCAGTAAATAGGATTGATTTCTTTTCTGCTTCCAAGAAACACACCTCATCACCAATGACAGATGACACCACCTTAGGGCTGAAGGAGGGCAAAGGGTGTTCCACACCAATAGGACCAAGAGACAAGCAGGGGTAGCTATACTAATAAAAGAGACATCAAACCAAAACTAGTCAGAAAAGAGAAAGAAGGACTCTGTCTACCCCTTAAAGGAAGAAGCAAGGAGCAGGATATTACAATCCTAAACATATATTCATCAGACACAGGAACACCCAATTTCATAGAGGAAACTATTATGTTGAAAGTCACCAAGTAATACCAACACAGTGGGCAACTTCTTTTTTAATTAGTTAATTAATTTTCTTAAAAAAATAATCTTTTCTAATTTTACATACCAATCATAGTTCCCTCTCCCTCCTCTCCTCTACCTTTCCCCAATCCCACCCCCATCCACTCCTCAGAGAGGGTAAGGCTTCCCGTGGGGAGTC